AACAGTTTTTCAAAAACTTTATTGTAGTGGATCTTAGGCACAATTTTGTTGCACAACATCGATTGTTAGTTCTTAAAACAATATTTAACAGTACACGGCAATACGCAATCTCATGTGCAATGATAAATATCTGGTCGTTTGAAGACGATTTTCAAAAGTTTGTAATACATTTTTCTGCAAATTGAAGGACGACATTTTTTTGCACTTAAACTGCTTTAGTGTGTATCATTGTGTGTGTACTTTAATTGGAAATTTAGAAGAACGCGAAACTCGAACATGCATATAGTACATGAGCACACTTAACCTAGTATTTGCAGTATCTGCAGCTTCTCCCTTGATAATTTGTTGATTCATTGTTATCAGAGTTATAAAATAAACTGCACCGAACACAATAATGGATAAATCAAAATCACTGTCAGTTTAGTAACGCAAGGTGTATTTGAAAAGTTTATCAGATCTACAGATGCACCCGCACTAAGGCCCGTATTTATAAACGATACTCAAGCCGATACTCAGCTCATGCTTGGCCAAGTACGAGATCGTTCTCAATCAAGAGACGATTTATAAACAGTACTTCGTGAATTCTCGGCGAAGTATTGGTCGAGTATAGATGTATAGGGACTTTCGTATTGATTGGGTAATTTTATATTGGGACTATTGGCGAACCTGGCAAATCTAAGATGGCGTCAATGTTATCATGTAAATATGTCTTTTGAACCGCTGAGGGACTGGCGAAGATCACGAAGGTTACCGGACACAAGCTACAATATAATATACACTTTATGTAAGAAAGTAGACATGGAATCAGAAACATTGCTGCTTGTTGTATAGAATCTTGAACATACCAGCAATTGAGTAATGGGTGATCTTTGATATTGGTAGTCCACGATTATCCGCTTTCAATAATGGTTCGTTTAAAAAAAGTAATATCACCTCAATAATAGTGGCCTTTGAAAACCGAAACCTTTTCCGAAATTCCACATGCGAGAAAAACTCAAAAGGATTTTTGCCATCTCTTATACATATTTTACTAACACGTTGGTCTTCGTTTATTTCCTCCTCTATTACGTCCAAACATTCAAAACCTTGTCCATTCTTATATTGTATACGATAGTAAAATCAAAAAATTTAAATGTAAAAACAACATAAACAGTAATATAACCTTAAAAACCGTTTGACGGTTCAACGGAAAATCTCAACCAATGGCTGGGCAGAAGCAATACTCAAGCCACCGTCGACCGATACTTCAGCAAGCAAAGCTGTAAGCACTGGCTTGAGAATGAGAATCGTTTATAAATCGCAATTGAAGCCAAGTATCGTACTTGAGGCTCGACTCATGCTTGA